TAGATGGGGCTCATACTACTTGACAACAAAAAAGCAAAACAGGTCATCTTTTCTAAACAATTATATATTATTAATATTAGATTCAAAAGTTATGTATATTAATAATTTTTTATTTAATTTCAGCGGACCGTGGCCCCTGTTGGTCTATGCGTGGTCCGTCCCTGATTATTTCATGAATCTGCAAGAGAAATGAAATGAAAGAAATAAAAATAAAAAACAAAACTTATACACATACATACATACATATATACATATATATATTTGTTGTAATATTGTGTTTTTCACATGTGAGTTAATTTCTAATTACAGGAAAAGCAGACCAAAGTTAACATGGAAAGTTAATTTGAATATACATACATATTTATTTTTATTTTTACTATAGAAAATATGGAAAGTTGCTTATTTTGTTCCTTTACTATTGGGTTGTATTATTTCATGAATCTGCAAGAGAAATAAAAAACAAAGTGAATTTAACTTGTATGTATTTTTGTGTTTGTTGTAATATTGTGGATTTTTTTATATGAGTTGATTTGTGATTACAAGAGAAGACCAAAGTTAACATGGAAAGTCACGTGTCAAGCCTATCTTAGTGGTTTACTAGGGTAAGCTCAATCTATATCTATATCAATATCTATCAATATATATATATATTGAATAATTTAGAAATTAATGGACTCAATATTTATGTCAACGTGACATTTATCTAATTCCCATTTTTCTGTGAAAGCAGCACAGACACATCCCCTCCCCATTTTCCCCCAAACTGCCGTGAGCCTCTCTCCCCTCCCTTTTTGAATTTTTTTTTTTGTAATTTTTTTTATATTAATTTCTTCCATGGAAGAGCTTGCTAAGATTCCTCACACAAATACCTATCAACTCATCTAGCTTCGTCTTGTATTTTTTAAGACTTGTTGAGAATTTTGGTGCTCAAATCTCTTGAAAGATTGGATTTAAATCTTCTTGGTGACATTACTCTCATTTCATCTTCTCTTGTGATAAAATAGGGTAGGGATCATCTCTTTTATTTAAAATGTATAGAAAGCATTTTAGGTACTCTCATTTCTGACGACATGGAGTTGGGTGGTCATGCTTAAAAAATTAAATTTTTTACGGACTTGCTCGTGTATATCTATGCTTAATTATATCTAGGCGCTTTTTGAGTTTTGCTATTATTTTGGGAGTTGGCATGTAAACTTAACTAGTTGGTTCTGAACTAGTAAAATTAATTAGTCAATATATAGAGATGTAAGAAAAATTAATAAAACCAAATCAACTGATCGAAATTGACCAAAATTTTAATTTTCGGTTTGTTTTTCATAACAGACGGTCTATTTTGGTTGTAAAACTTTTTAAACCGATGTAAACCGAACCGACCGAATATTATATTTCAATATTTATATATTATAATTTCTTGAACATTATATAAAAAGTAACTAATATAATACATTTTTGTGATAAAAATTAGGGAGAAAAACATTTCTATAATCTACTATAAAACTTTTTAAAATTTCATGTAAATTTCTCTTTTATATCAAACCGACAAAACCAATAAAACCGAACTGTAACATATGGTTTGTATCGGTTTCTCAATCATAAAAATCGAAATAATAAATATACTCTTAACACCACCGAACCGAACCGTACTGTTTGCACCCTTATCAACATGTGTAAATTTATTTGGACGTTAATGTAAATTGCACTTGGGGGTTGTGAGTAATTTAGGACTAAATGTTAATCATCTTTAATGTATTCATATTTTATTTTACACAATTGGTATGAGATTGAGCTTATGGATATTGAAGTTGGTGAAAGAATAGTATTTTCATTTAAATTCGTTTTAAATTGGGTTTTGTTGCTAATAAAATATTTTAGAGTTGTTTAATTTTTAAATGTCACATTCTTCTAAAACTAAATTTTATTGGGTTGAATCACCCTAATTATAATAAATTAGTAATACTCCACCAACTTATAGTTCACGACGTGACAATAATTCTTTGCAATAATATTTATATAATAATCTTGTAATAATTAATATATTTTAAACTTAAATTGTCTATCTAAACTATTATTGTTTGGGTTTTGGGCTTAAATCACTTACTTAAACTTAAAACTATTATTATAAGCTTATTGTAGAGATAAAAATTAAAAATAATATTTATTAGTGTTTTGTTTTAAAATGAAAATTTCATATTGCCGGCCTCTTAGGCGGGCTTTGAAAATGGAGTACTTCCACATATATTTATTTATAAAAGTATTACAAATAAAATAATAACTTATCAATAATTTTTTTATTATTTAGTAGTTACAAAAAGTTTATTTACACATCTAATCATTAAAATTTATTTTCATATATTAAGATAGAAAAAAATCATTACAAAGACTCAAAAAAGATAAAATAGGGTTTTGTTGTTTTATAATTTAGCAATAATCAACACAAATAACATAATTCACTAATATCTGATAACAAAATAATTATGTTATTGTAATATGACATCTGATAACACAATCATAATCTACACAAATGACAATCCACTAATTCTTTGATAACAAAACACAAATTATTGGAAAAAGATTGTGAGAAAAAACTAATGCAAAATTATTCAATTGAATTATGATAAAGAGAGAGGGCAAAAAAATTAAGATAAAGCTATTTATTCTATTAAAATTTTGAAATTAGGACTCATTATATTATATATATTTGTTTGGACTAATTATATAAATTTATAATTGGGCCTAACAATGATTATATATATATTTTTAATTTGGCCCAGTACATTTTTTGAGAGACCTTTTAAATTGGGCCTCGAACAATAAAAGTGATTGGCTTTAAACTTTTAATATAATATAAAGGGTAAATTATGCAGATAATCCCCCGTAGTTTACACGATATGTTACATTGGTCCCTATTGTTTTAATTTACTCGATTTTGTCTCTTAATTTAACAGATAGGTTTGGTGGACATAAAGTTTTCACGTGCCGAAACGATGTGTCAATTTGGTCCATCTAGTTTACACGATGTGTCAATTTAGTCTTTGTAAAAATTGAGCAAATTATGACACATCGTGTAAACTACAGGGACCAAATTGACACATCGTATAAGTTTCCGCTCACCAAATTTAATGGCCATTATTTACTGGACCAATATGACACAATCTGTTAACTTAAGGGATAAAATTGAGTAAATTAAAATAATATGGAACAAATTGACACATCGTGTAAACTATAAGAACCATTTGCTTAATTTACCCTAATATAAAACTAACAAATTTGGGCTCTTATTTTGGGTCAAAATTTGGGGCCCTAGGCACAGGCCTTAGGGCTCTTTTGGCAAAGAGGTTAAATAGTTACTTTTTGGCTTTTAACCTCTTTTGAGTTATATCACCTTTTTATTTTTTTTATACAGTATGTTTTTTACAAAAAAAAAATAAAATTAAAAAATTAACTTTTAACCTACTACCAAAACAATCCTACTGGCCTTAGCCCAGGGCCAATCCTATGTTAGCTAATTTTCTAAAAAACATTCTGCTATGAATTATTTATTTATATATTTATTATTTTGTCAATATGTGTCTGTTTATTTTTTAGACTCATTTTATAAACTAAGTGATGTGTCAATAAAAAGATAATTAATTGATAATTAAATATTTTTTTAATTATCAATCAATTATCTTCTTAACATATTACTGAATTTAAAAAATGAGTTTAATTTTTTGAGCCTCAATAATAATGTTCAATTTTTAATTGTAGAGGATCAATGGCACAAAATTTATACGTCGAGGGCTTCGTTTTGACATCAGCGACCTTTGCTGCTGCTTTGTATAATCTAATCCCTGCCTGCACCTTCATTTTGGCCGTCTTTTTCCAGTACTCTCTCTCTCTCTCTCTCTCTCTCTCTCTATATATATATATATATGCAAAATATATAGCTAAACTGATTTCCTGAATTTTACTAACTTCGTGTATAATGATAATAAAAATATTTAATAAAAAAAACTAATAATAATGATCTATGAAATAAATAAATAAAAATCATATAGAATGTGTAATAATATAGTTCAATGTGTGTACTTTTTATTTTGAAATAAAACATTCACAAAAATTACTTTTATTTACAAAATTAACATTATCCTATTATTATTCTTGTGATATTTTCTGTATGAATAGGGCTTTTCAAAATCTAGTGGGAAATTAATATATATATATATAGGAAAATTTAAATCAATGATATTTTAAAAATATAATTACAAATCAGTAATAAATTTTATAAATTTAATAATAAAATCTTAAAAATTTCTATAAATTTGTAGTTATTTTTAAATTTTTTTTATCGGTTTCTAATTTCTCAGATGTATGTATTCTTTTTAGATAAAAATATTGCATGATAGCTAGGGTTGTGCATAGGATTATCCGAACTGCCCAACCCGAACCGATCCGCATATAAATGGGTAGTTTCGTAAACACAATGCGGGCGGATGCAGTTTGAAGTATGGCATAATTGCGGGTTGCGAGTTTAACCTGCACCCGCAAGAATCCATCTCGCACTTAGATTTATTTTTTTTAATTAATTAAAAAAACTTGGACCGTTGATTTCATTCATCCTATCCTAGATATTTTTGGCCAACACACCAAACTCTAATTTCATGATACAAAAAGAAATGTTGTAGAGAACATTATTTTTGAATGTTTTTGTTTTTGTTTGTTATGTGAATATTGAATATGTTAATTACTTTTAAAATTGAGATCAATCTTACATTATATTGAATCTTGAAATTGAAATTGAATTTGAAAATTGAAAAAAGTCCAATCCGCAAACTGCAGGCAACTGCCTGCACATTTGCAAATTCTATCCACACAAACTGCAATCCACACCATGGGCGATTACGGATTGAATTTTTTCTAAATTGCATACATACGAATGGATCTAAATCAATCCATAAACCGTTCAAAATCGAATCGCAAACACTCCTGATAGCCATCTAATGTGGGTATAATGGGTACAGGATGGAGAGGTTGGGATTGGGCACAATGATAGGCAAGGCGAAGGTGGCAGGGACGTTGATGTGCATTGGTGGGGCCATGCTGCTCATGTTCTACAAAGGGGCAGAGCTCAACATCTGTTCAACCAATGTTGACTTTTTACATCACAAGGGTGGACACGTGGTGACACTACACCCACATGATAGTAATGACGTGGTGGGAGCTTTATTGGTTGTGTTCTGCTGTGTCTCTGGTGCAATAGGATTGATTGCTAAGGTAATCTTGCAACAACAACCAACAAATTAAATAAAAATAAATAAATGATAAAAAAAAAATTAATTTACTCATATGACCTTGACTAATGTCATTTGTTTTGAATGTGTCCTGTTTGTTGGGCCAGGCTAAGATGATACAGGACTATCCTTGTGTCTACTCCAGCATTGCTCTGATAATGACGATGACAGCAATCCAAGCCATTGGATTTGCACTCTCCACTCTGCATGGATAGAGATTGGAGTAAGTGGAAACTAGGATGGAATCTAAGACTACTAATTGTCTCCTACTCGGTATGTTTCCTCAGGGACGGACCCAGAATTCGATCATTGGGGGGGAACAAACATAGGAAGATAAGTGAGGTTAGATTTAAAGCAATGGATTTTCATGCAATAAACAACTGTGATTTTTCATGCTATTAATTGAAAATGGATAAACTCTTATTTTTATTAAATATTTGATGTAACATTAATATTACGTTATAGCATCACTAATCAATGAGATTTTTTATATTGCAGTAGTGATAAATAATGATGGGCTAATGAGATACAAAAATGGTGAACTTAATTTCATTTATAAAGTGAATAATATAATTAAAAATATATTTTAGAACATAATATGTTAGGGAGTTATCATGGTGTGTACTCTTTAAAATGTGCATATTAACCATAACAAATTGCAACTTCTTTCGCCAAAATAGTTTGTAACATTTTGCATCACAAATAATTTATAAGATTTACACTACACCGTTCATAACGTAACTACAATAATTCATAACTTTTACTTTCACTTTAGAGATGCACACCATAAATTAACTACTCATAACATTTACTACACATAACACTACAAATATTCTAAACTTTGATGAAAAAAGAAATCATATATTTCTTATAATAACATTTTTTTATATATTATACTATCATTGTATTATAAAGAACTGTTAAAGAAAATAGTTAAAATTATAAGATGAAAGGAGGCCGATAGGAGAAGTTGGTGTGTTGAACCTATAAATAGCGAAGCATCTTGTGCAAAGCAGGGGGGCAGGGCCCCTGTAGGTCTACATGTAGTTCTGTCTCTGTATATCCGTATACTAATTAATAATTGGTGCTATGCGCAGGACTTTATAAATTAAAATAAATCATTATAATTATCTTGTGATAACTTAATGTTTTATCATATATTACGCATGAAATTCATAACTTAATTTTTATGTTTATAACTTTTTTAATTATTAGTTTAAAAAAAATTTTAAAAATTATAAATCTACTTAGTGAAATTTTGATAATTTCTATAATAATAAATAATAATAAAAAGTTAAACCTAGTTAAATGAGTTATGACATATCTTTTTTTTGTTATAAAAATATACAAATTTAAAAGTTATAATTAAGATAAATATAAAATTTCATAATTAAGAAAAATATATAATTTTATTATTAAATGTGAAGTAAAGTGATATTTAACGATAATTGAGATGATGTTTCTAGGGAAACACTATGGTACACACCCCCTCAAAAGGTGTGTACCATATGCACCTTATAATTAAAAAAAAAATGGTATAACTTCATATTTTTTTAGTCATAACTAAAAAAAATGTCATAACCAAGTACAATATGAGACATAACCAAATAACTCATATGTCATAATTAAAATAATATCATAACTAAAAAAGAAAATTACATTACTAAATGTGCATATGGTACACCATTTTTAAGGGTGTATTTATTAGAATTTCTCGTGTTTATGTTATTAATCTAATAATTTAAGTTACATTTCTTTTGATTTGAATTTCATAACTAAAAATACAATATGAATATAATGCGCACACGGAATGTGTGCTAGCGTTTTAGTCTTTAAGAATAAGAAAGCTTTACAATATCTCCAACCTTTCATTATTTTCTTTTAATTTTTTTTATTTAACTTGATTTTAAATTTAAATAAAAAGTTTAATTTGATATGCTCTTGGTTGGAATTATGTTGAAAGAGCAAAAATTAGAGTATGTGATTGGCCGAAATATATAATTTGATTAATTCTGTTCTCTTATTTGTAAAAAGAAATGGTAGAGCCCATACTTAAAATCAAATTAATCCGTGATGTGGCAAGAGAGTTAGGGCCTTATATCATTAGGTGCGTAACAAATTAAAAATTGACACTTATGACCATATCATCATGGGTCGGATTCTGGAATCTTTTTTGAGGTCTCAACATTTTTCATTTGTAAATATCCTACATATTGAAAAAAAAAAAGAAAAAAAGGAGTTGGTATGACTAATCAAATTATTCTTTAAATAAGATTTCAAAATAAATTAATTTGTCTGATTAAGTGATTTAAGATTTAGATAGATATACATAAATAAATAAAATATAAATAGTTATATTAATAAATCATAATTCAAATTTAGATATTGTCATATTTTTTTGAGATCCATATCTTAATTCTTATCTTCTTTATTTATGAGTGGTTTATATTTGTTTTTTTTTAAATTTATTTAAGTTATGGAGTTGGTTTTATTTTATTTTTTGAATTTAATTTATGTGTGGTTTCTATTTATTAATTTAAGTTATGGAGTTGTGGCTTTTTATTTACTTGTTAAAAATTTATTTAAGTTATGATGTGAGATAGAGAGGTGATAGATATGTTGGTTTTATTTATTTAAATTCTAATGGTGGGAGATATTTTCAAAATAGATTTATTTAGATAGAGTTTAAAGATTTTTTAAATTTAAAATTGAATATTGAGAGGCAAAATAAAGATTTTAAGTGAAACGATAAAGAATGAATTTGCTAATTTTATCTGTTTGTATATTTGATTTTTAAATTTTTTTATTATGTTTATTTAAAGAGAATGCCATACAGAAAAGAAAGTATATGAGAGTTTAGTATTCTGAGTATAAAAGTCTGACATGTTTCACACTATATTCTTATAATATATATATATATATATATATATAAAAGATAAGTCTACAAACATAGGAAATGGTCATAGAATCGTACACTGAATGTATGTGTACAAAAGTTTTTTAAAAAAAGTTGATGCCATGAAAAAATCTTGCAAAATTTTGTTCATTCATGCATGTTATGTGTTTGATTCTGTAATTGATTTCTGTGTTAATATCATAATTATTTATATATTTCGACAAGTTACCACTTGTTCGGTCAAGTTTTTTTTAAGAAAACTGATCTAAAAGTTTTAGATAGAAGATCTATTGTCGATTTTTTAATAATATTTTTAATTATTAATCACTAATTTTAATTTAAATTGTTAAATGTGCCGGTAGTAAACAATTGAACACATGTACTCAGAAAAACTCTATGAAATGTCTGGATTAAGTTTAGGTGTGGGTGTAAATCTAAATTATGAATTTTAATTCAATTATGGAGCAGTTGTAAAATGTGTTTGACTTGCTTGCATTGTAGGGGATTGTGGCTTGTGGAGTAACGTTTACCCTCATGGCTTGGTGTGTACAAATAAAGGGTCCACTATTTGTATCAATTTTTAGCCCCCTGCTGCTTGTTCTTGTGGCAATAGCTGGCTCGTTGCTATTGGACGAGAAACTACACTTGGGAAGGTATATATGTACACATGATATGATATGATAATATTAACAACGTTAACTAAGCTAATACTATTAAAATCAAATTAATAATCATGAATGGATGTTATTTCCTTTGTCACATAAATAATTTTTTGCTTGATATATATGGACATACATTGTTTCATTTGACTTAATTTTTTTAATTTGTATCTAATAATAGCATACTAGGAGCTGGGGTAATAGTGTGTGGATTACACATAGTTTTGAGGGGAAAAAATAAAGAGTTGATGAGAATTACACAACTGATGCCATCAAAGAGCTCCAAAGAATCGGAACATATCAATATCATAGTCACTTCTTTGACAGAAAACAACAATGGAAGTAGTGACAACATCATAGCGGTAGAAGAAGAAGAAGAAGAAGAAGAAGAAGAAGAAGAGGAGGAAGAGATAATTGCAAAGGTAGAAGGGGTTTTCAATCTGGACCAGATGAGTTCACACAAGATAGTAGCAATTTGAATATGTATTTGATTTACATTCGATAAGGTTAATTTTGTTCGATTGACTGAAGAAATATGTTGATGAAATTGATTGGAATATGCTTGTTGTCCCACCATTTGGGTCTTATAAGGCAATTATTTGCTTCTTAGAGCAATTTTTGTTTAAGATTATTCACCAACATTGTTAAATATTTGTCTGTCAATAGAATCTGCAGTCTTAGTCATTTATTGTACTGGAAGGTTCCTGCTTCAAAGTTTGCTTCTTTGGATTATTATTATTATTATTATTTTATTTTTTTTTAAAGCTTATCATCAGTGTTTTCTCACCTGAAATAAAGAACTTTATTTTTTTTTTTAAATTTTAAAATAATACTTGATCTCAAGTTCAAAAGTAGCAGCCAAAGTTTGTTAGAGAGTAATATCTTATAAATAAAAATTAATTAATTAATCCTCTTGCTTTCTCTAAACGCATATGGACTAAGGCCAAGTTTGGAAAGACTAAATAAGTGTACTTTTTGACTTTTTTTGTATTATGTGTAGAAAAAGTAAAGAGAAGATGTTGATTGATGTGACCTAAAAAAGATAAAAAGATGAAATAAGTGTACTTTTTTTTGTTAGCCAAACTTGGCCTAAATCATAAAAGTAAACGAAAAATAGTATTTTAGACATTTTATATATATTATTTTGTTCTTTTGTGACTATTTTAGCCTTTTAGCCTTTCAATTCAACATGTCAAGCGAGGGCTTAGATCATAAATTTGGATAAAATTTTAAAATAAAGAAAAAAGAAAAGAAAAATATGAGAGAAAAAGAAAAAAAAATAGTTTTGTATTTCATTTAATTTTTTTTTTAAATCACAACTTAAATCCATAATTCAAAATTCAACTTCAGGCTTTGTTTGGAATGTTTGGTTTGGGTATGACTTATTTTTTGATTTTTTTGTTTATTACAAAAAGACATGTGAAAAAATAAAAAGTTTATGTGATAGAAATAATCTAATAAACAGCATATTTGGGTACTCTCCAAAACAAGTCAAAAAATGTTTAAATAGTTAATAAGACAAAATGCTACACTCTATACATCAATCAATCACTTTTTTATTTCCCAACCATCTATTTAACTATATAAAAAAAAAAAACCCCACAAATTATTCCAAACAAATTTGAATTTGGATGTTCAGTTTCAGTGTTTCTCGGTTTTT